TGCCCCACTGCCCTTTACCCAGCCAGCTTCATTATTTCCTTTCTCACTTCTCCATCTTGATACATGTTGATTTCCTCTGCTGTTGCCAAACCCAATCTTATTTGTCTCTCAATTTTAAGACTAAAATAAAATAGGCAAGTGATGATATCCTTTCAGTTTTTCTTCCCCAGCCATCCAAACCTTTTTTGTTATTATTTTTTTTTAACCAGAATTATCTGATTAACCTACCTGGCCTAATCTGTTCTTCTTACAAACAGCAGATGAATTTAGTTGCCCTTAGCATAGCAGCAAACAGGGTTTTACAATTACTCTACTAATTCCTAACCATTTTTATTTTTTTGTATATACTGTCTGGTTACTTGAAAAGGTTGGGGTCCAATCCTACTTTTGTTTTAAATAGACAATGATTCTTTTTTTCCCCTAAAAGTGTTTGTGATAGCTAGCTTTCTACTACCGCAACAAATATCTGAGATGAATCAACTTACAAAGAGGAAAGGTTTGTTTGGGCTCACTGTGTTGGAGGTTTCAGTCCATGATCAGTTGGCCTTGTTGCTTTGGGGCTAGTGGCATCCTAGCAGGAAGTAAGTGGCAGAGGATGGGACTAGGGTTCCAATATCCCCTGCAAAGGCATGCCCCCATGATCTAACTTCCTCCTACTAGGTCCAGTCTGAAAGGTTCTACCACCTTCCAAGAGCACCAAAGACTGGAAACCACGCCTTCAACACATGAGCTTCTGGAAGACACTTAACCCAAACCACAATAGTTTTTTGTTTTGTTTTGTTTTGTTTTCACGACCGTTTGAATATGAGTCACTATCTGGCATATATGTTCTCCAAAAGGGTTGATTTGTCTTCATAATTTTGTCAGTTTTACCTTATCTAGATGGATCGGGAGGCATTCAGCTTTGCATCTCAATTCCTTCAGAACCTTAAGCATGTAAGTGAGAGAGCTCAAGGTTGGATTTCTCCTAGAAAGCAAATAATGTCTTTTGCTTTTATTGACAGGGCTATAGATATCCTTGAAGAAATTAATCTATCAGTGAGACGAAAAAATAAATTCAGTGAAGCAGCTTATAATAAATTGCTCAACAATAATCTCTCTCTGAAATATAGCCAGACTGGCTGTTTGTTGTCAAATAACATAATTAGTGATGGATTCTATGATTATGGTCGGGTAAGTGACAGCACTTATTGTGTTTTAGTATGTAAAGTAATAATTTTTCCTTTAATCATGATGCCATTACATGGCCATTTTATGAGCACTATATATAATTTATATTTTTAGAAGCAGAAATTTGAAAATCAGCACATTATCCTTAACTTTGGTTATAAGATTTCACATTTTTATACAGTTTTAACCAGAATTTAATTATTTGTAGTTTAATCATCTTGCTAATAAATCCAGTCTCAAGTGTCAGATAAGCTATAAAAGGGTCATTTAAAATTTTGGTTCTATTACTTCTTGTGCTTAGTGAATAAAAATATGTTTTTCATTTCATTAATTAGACTCTGATTGAAACTAACCAAATTCTAGTACTAGGCTTTAAAATGTAGAAGAATATTATTTTACCTAATTGTATTTATGATGGAATTTCAAAACAATGTATAGTATAATTCAGCATTATATTGAGAAAAACAGAAAGAAGAATTAATATCTTGAGGACTTTTTGATGTGGCTGCTTAAGTTGGAATTTCTTTTTTTGTTTTAACTAATTTTAAAAACCAAAGGCAATAAGAGGTGTGGAGAAAACTTTAGAACTTCGCAAAACTGAGAAAACAATATGATTTAAAGACTTCAAAAAAATTTGAGCATTACCTAAAGTCCCTGAGGTCTGGTAGAGCCTCTGCAAGAGGAAAAATGACAAAGGGAGGAAAACCACAGAGGAGTGAGAGAGCTAGTGGTGGCAGATCTCAGAAAGTTCCATCACGTATATATTTCCTGAGGCCCTAGGAGAACTCGAAAGAGCAAAAGCCATATGCTTTGCTGGGCAGGTGCAGGAATTCAAAACTGGACTGAGCAAGGCTGGAAGCAGAAACCTTCTTGGACCAATTGGGTTCAAAGAAGCAGAGAAGACAGGACCATAAAAGATAACTGAGCTGTATTTGCAAGGGAGGTCTCAACCATGGCTGTAGAGAATGTGAGAAAAATTGAATAATGAAAAACAACTAGTCTAAAACTTTACTCTGGCTCCTCCTCCAGCACTTCCACCATACCCTTTAACACCCTGTGACACACATAACCAGTGCAAAAGCCGCAAGGGGTAAACATCCTTGACAGGACAAGGTGAGAGAAGAGTAGCAACTCAATCAGAGTCATAAAGGGCTGCCAAAGACCTTCAGAAGAACTTGGGTTTTAATCTGAATGAAATGGGAAACTGGCGAGGATCTGGGACAGAAGAAGGATGGGATCTGTCTTACTTTTAAAAGACCACTTTGCCTTATTCTAAAAGGATCATGAAAAGTATCTTGGATGAGAACAGGATCTAACCATCAGTTAACTGGAAAGAGATCTCAGAGCTCAGAGGTTGATTCTAGACCATCCTCTTCTACCTGGCTGATAAAAATTGCCTGTCTAAGGCTTAAATGTCCTTGTGGCACTTTAAAAGTCAGTTTCAGCACTTACTTTTACAACAGTAAATTCTCGCTGAGGCATATGGATGGACTGTGAACTTGGATACTTTCAGGAGCTAAGAAATAGCTGAGACAGTAAAAGTTGTGAGGAACTGGAGAGATGTACCCCACCCAAAGGCAAGAATGCCCACATCATCAGTTCCCAGTTCTCTCTCTATTTCTCTCTCTCTCTCTCTCAACACCATGTTATCCTCAAGGTCTTATAAAACATGAAATGCCTTGCAAATATAACATATTGTTAATATATGAAAGAGGGGGGGAGGGAGACACACACACACATAGATATGACGTGTATGTAAATGAATTTAACAAGCTGTCAAGAATATAGTGCATCAAAATTTATTTTAAAAAATCCTGACTCATACAGAGAATACTTTTCAGTTCTTGAACTATCTTACAGATAAAACCTGGCACCAAACTTTTGCCATTGAAGGAGCTCTGCTTTCAAGAACCAAGTGATCAACGAGCTGTACTCTTGATCAACAGTAAAGCTTCTGATAAGTGAGTCTTTAGGTGGGGGCAGGGGGTGCAGAAAAACACATTTTTTTTTTGTCAGCATGTGACTATGTGAAGATTACCAGCATAGATCTTTCTCTTCTCCTATATCTAACACTACCATAAAAACAAACAGTGGTCCATAAACTCCCGGCCAGACACAGAATAACCAGCCTCCATTACCAGTGCAAACTGTTCTCTGCTCTTTTCCTTTGACACCATGTTATCCTCAATTTCCAGTGGATTTCTGAAGTCAGGATTCTCACTCCTAGAGTAACTGCAGAAAGGGTAGATAGGAGTCAACCAAGTTGAGTTCTGTTTATGAGTCTCTAGAACTGTGTACTTGAGTGTAACAACCCAGCATTTTTCTTTGAAATAAGAAGTAAATGATAGAACTAAAAAAATCAAAGCTCAACATTTTTTAAAATGATCACATATATCTATATAGCTAATATAGTACTAAGGTCATACATTTTATATAAATATTTCCTGTTCCAGTGTGTAAATGCTTTGTGATATTCTTTGTGTCTTAATCTCTCCTTTATGCTTTTAAAATAGTATGTTCCTATTAAAAGTTTGCTCCAAATGTGGCTTTTAGAAAGAAATCTGTTCTTTTTACAATATTGACAAATTATTTTAATTCATAAATAATTTTAAATGTGGGCTTGGATTGTGGCTCAGTGGTAGAGTGCTTGCCTGGCATATGTGAGGCACTGGGTTTGAGTCTCAGCGCCACATACAAATAAAATACATAAAATAAAAATTTAAAAAAATAATTTCAAATGTGTCAAATTTTAGTTCTCCACCTCCATCTATGGATGATAAATCATCAGATGTTGGCTATGGAAGAAGTATTTCTTCTTCATCTTCTTTAAGAAGAGGAAGTAGAGAGAAGACCAAGTAAGAAAATGATGTTTTATTTATACTCAAATAACTCTCCCCTTAATCTGGAAGTGAAATTTTTTTTTAGATTTTGGCAACATGATTCTGCTTCTTCTTACGGTAATATAATTGCATAATTGCTTTTTAAATTGCTGTAGCAAAGATCTCTGAAATAGGAGCTGGGAGATTTGGGCTTCCCCTTTTGTCTGCTGTTGACCCTGCAGTATGTGGAATGACAAGAGTCAGTTCTCTGGGCAGTTCCTTAGCTGTGGAGGGAATGATGTGTAGCCCCTGCTTCCTAATGGCAAAAAGAATCAAATCAAAAGGGGAAAGGCCTTATAAACCGTGAAATGCCTTGAAAATATAACATATTGTTATTTTCTGAATGATTTTAATTGTTTGTGATATTTTCCAAATGACTCAAAAAAAAAAAAAAAAACATCATTAGTTTTCGTATTAGCACTGGATTTGGATCTCCCACAGAAGAGAGAACAGAGCCTGCTTCTGGAAGAAACACTGTTGCTAGCAAAAGTGCTGGGAAAGAAAAAGGACCCAGGTAGGAAATGTGTCATTCTATCTTCTCATTATAAACACTCTTAAATTTCAGATGCTCAGATAATTTGGAGACCAGGAGAGGTGGCTTTTCTTTTCTTTTCTTTTTTTCTCAGTGCTGGGGAACAAACCCAAGGCCCTGGGCATGCTAGGCAACTGCTTGAACACTGAGCTCACCCCCACCCCAGGCCCAGAAGTGGCTTTTCACAGGAGGTTTTAGGGTCTGGCGGCATGCTCAGTGGTAGAGCGCTTGTCTAGCATGTGAGCACAAGACCCTGGATTCCATCCCCAACACCATGGAAAACCAAAACAGGAAGGTTTATTTCTGAAATGAGTATGTTGAAGGAGACAAGACTCCTGAAATGTAATTAAAAAGTACCTTTATTTTGCCCCTCACTGTTTCTTTAAATTTTACCCAGAGGGCTGGGATTGTGGCTCAGCAGTAGAGCGCTCGCCTAGCACAGGTGGGACCTAGGTTAGATCCTCAGAACCACATAAAAATAAAGGCATTGTGTTGTGTCCATCTACAACTAATAATAAATATTTTTTTAAAAATTATAAAAAAATAAAATTTACCCAGAGAGAATTTCCTCTAACTTTGGCTGAGAGTTTAGGGCACTGTGATCACTGAAAAGAAATATAAGGTCCCACAGTCACTTGAACTCAAAAATGACAACAGGATCTGCAGGTTCTAGCCCTGAGTATTGGTTGACCTGCGCAGCTCATTCCTGCCTCCCCAGGCCCCCTTTGGCCTCCAGCTTGCCCTGCCTTTCACTCCCCTTGTGGTCAGGAGTCTTGACCCTTTAAGGCAGAAGCATCCAGAAGAGGGAAATAGGATAACACTCTTACTTGACTCAACCAATTAATGTGATTTTGGGCCTTTTTTTTCTTTTAGTACTAGGGATTGAACTCAGAAGCGCTAAACCACTGAGCCACATCCCCAGCCCTTTTCATTTTTTATTTTGAGACAGGGTCTCACTAACTTGCTAGGGCCTCTCTAAAGTGCTCAGGCTGACCTCAAACTTGCCATCCTCCTGCTTCAGCCTCCCAAGTCCTCAGAATTACAGGTGTGGGCCATTTTTGTAGTGACATTTCTGAATGTCATTTTTCCCCATTTTACATTTTTAAAATTTTAATTTGGTATATATAACAGCAGAATGCATTACAATTCATATTACACATATAGAGCACAATTTTTCATATCTCTGTTTGTACCCAAAGTAGAGTTATATCATTCCTGTCTTCTTACATGTACTTAGGATAATGATGTCCACCTCATTCCACCATCTTTCCTACACCCATGTCCCCTTCTTTCCCCTCCCTCCTCTTTTCCCCTTTGCCCTACCTAGAGTTTATCTAATCCTCCCATGACCCTCACCACCACCACATTATGAATCAGCAGCCTTAAATCAGAGAAAACATTCTGCATTGTTTTTTGGGGGATTGGCTAATTTCACTTAGCATTATATTCTCTAACTCCATCCATTTACCTGCAAATGCCATGATTTTATTCTCTTTTAATGCCGAATAATATTCCATTGTGTATCCATACCACATTTTCTTTATCCATTCATCTACCAAAGGGCATCCAGGTTGGTTCCAGAGTTTAGCTATTGTGAATTGTGCTGCTATAAACTTTGACGTGGCTATGTCCCTGTAGTATGCTGTTTTTAAGTCCTTTAGGTAGAGACCAAGGAGTGGGATAACTGGGTCAAATAGTGGTTCCACTCCCAGTTTTCCAAGGATTCTCCATACTGCTTTCCATAATGGCTGCACCAATTTGTAGTCCCACCAGCAGTGTATGAGTGTACCTTTTTTCCCCCACATCCTCGCCAACATTTATAGTTGTTTGTATTTCTTAATAGCTGCTATTCTGACTGGAGTGAGATGAAATATTAGAGCAGTTTTGATTTGCATTTCTCTAATTGTTAGCAATGATGGACATTTTTCATATGTTTTTTGATTGATTATATATATTCTTCTGTTAGTGTCTGTTCAGTTTCTTAGCCCATTTATCGATTGGGTTATTTGTTTATTTGTTTGCTTGCTTGCTTTTGGTGTTAAAGGTTTTTGAATGCTTTATATATCCTAGAGATTAGTGCACTAGCTGACATGTGTGTGGTAAAAATTTTTTCCTAAATTGTAGGCTCTCTATTCACCTCACTGATTGTTTCTTTTGCTGAGAAGAAGCTTTTTAGTTTCAATCCATCTGATTTAATTGATTCTTGATATTAATTCTTGTGTTATAGGAGTCTTATTAAGGAAGTTGGGGCCTAATCCAACATGATGGAGATTTTGGCCTAATTTTTCTTTTAATAGATGCAGTGTATCTGGTTTAATTCCTAGGTCCTTGATCCATTTTGTGTTAAGTTTTGTGCATAGTGGGTGATAGAGGTTTAATTTCATTTTGTTGAATATGGATTTCCAGTTTTCCCAGCACCATTTGTTGAAGAGGCTATCTTTTCTCCAGTGCATGTTCTTGGCACCTTTGTCTAATAAAAGATAATTGTAATTTTGTGGGTTAGCCTCTGCGTCCTTTATTCTGTATCATTGGTCTGCCAGTCTGTTTTGGTGCCAATACCTTGCTGTTTTTAATACTGTTGCTCTGTAGTATAGCTTAAGATCTGGTATAGTGATGCCACCTGCTTCACTCTTCCTGCTAAGGATTGCTTTAGCTATTCTGGGTCTCTTATTTTTCCAGATGAATTTCATGACTTCTTTTTCTATTTCTATGAGGAATATCATTGGGATTTTGATTGGAGTTGCATTAAATCTGTATAGTGCTTTTGGTAGTATGGTCTTTTTTACAATATTAATTCTGCCTATCCAAGAACATGGGAGATCTTTCCATCTTATAAGGTCTTCTTTAATTTCTTTCTTTAGTGTTCTGTAGTTTTCATTGTAGAGGTCCTTCACCTCTTTCATTGATTCCAAGTTTGTTGTTGTTGTAGTTTTGTCTGTCTTCCTTCCTTCCTTCCTTCCTTCCTTCCTTCCTTTCTTTCTTTCTTTCTTTCTTTCTTTCTTTCTTTCTTTCTTTCTTTCGGCTATTGTGAATGGGTTAGTTTTCCTTTCAGAGAATTTGTCACTGATGATCAGAAATGCCTTTGATTTATGGATGTTGATTTTGAATTCTGCTACTTTGCTGAATACATTTACTAGTTGTAGAAGTTTTCTGGTAGAATATTTTTGGGTCTTCTAGGTATAGAATCATATTGTCAGCAAATAATGTTAATCTGAATTCTTCTTTACCTATCCGTATCCCTTTAATTTCTTTCATTTGTCTAATTGCTCTGGCCAGTGTTTCAAAAACTGTTAAATTGAGTGATGAAAGAGGGCATCCTTGTCTTATTCCAGTTTTTCTCCATTTAGAATGACGTTGGCCTGTGGCTTAGCACAGAGAGATTTTACAATGTTGAGATATGTTCCTGTTATCCCTAGTTTTTTTAGTGTTTTGAACATAAAGTGGTGTTGTATTTTGTCAAATGCTTTTTCTGCATCTAGAGAGATGATCATATGGTTCTTATCTTTGAGTCTATTGATGTAATGAATTACACTATTGATTTCCATATGTTGCATCCCTGGGGTGACCTTGCAAGTGATCTAGTCTGTTGGTGATGCTTTCTATTGAGTTTTTTTGTATTTGATTTATTATTTCCTTCATTTCAGAATCTCTATATCTTTCTTGAGGTAATCTTTTGCTACCTTATCTCTTTGTTGGTATGATCAATGGATGCCTGTATTTGCTCATTTAGGTCATTCTTTAATTCACAGATCATTTTAATTATGAACCTTCTGAACTCCTTCTCTGACATTTCATCAACTGTGCTGTCCATAGGTTCTGTTATTGTAGTATCTTACTTGGTTTGGAGAATTTTCCTCCCTTTTTCTTTCCTTGTTTTTCCTCCCATGTTGTCTATGTAATTTCCTTTCTTACAGTGTGGATCTGAGGTATTACAGTTTTTATCCTATAATCTTGTAGTATCTGTGCAGATTATCTCTACCTCATCTTGGTATTGAGTTTCCAGACCCTGCCAGTGTCCCAGGATGGATGCTACTGCAAGTATAGGTGGTGGCAGCAGTAGCAGGAGATAACTCGAGATAGCAGTAGAGGTGCCCCAAGATGGATGCAGTGTCTTAGATGGGGCTAAAAGAATGGGTCTTATACTGGCTTTGGGATGCCTGATCCCTGATGCAGCTGCTTCTAGGCTCTGTCTGTTTTCTCAAAGTAGAGGCTACTGCATGGGGAAGGTTATGGGGATGGCTACAGTGTCTCAAAATGGAAGTGGGTTAGACTTGGGCTCCTAGGTGGTGGTGGTGATGCGGACCCAAACTTACTCTATGCCCTGGCTCCCGTGCAAGTCAGCAAGGTGGGTCTGGGTCAGGCCTGAGCTCCAGTGTGTGTCTGCCAGTGGCAGAATGGACTGGTGCCTACCCTGGACCCAAGCTCCCACACGGGTCAAGTGAAGCAGGTCTGGGCTGAGCCTGACTACTGTGGGTGTCTGCCAGTGGGCAGAGGCAGTCCTGGGCCAAGTCTGAGCTCTGGTGGTCAGCCAGTAATGGGATGGACTGAGGCTTACCCTGGGCCCAAGCTCCCGTGCAGGTCAGTGAGGCGGATCTCCATTTCTGTAAGATTTTGAAGCATTTGGCTCGTAATCTCACTTGCTCCAGGTCACTCTGGTCCATCAGTAAATGCCTTCTTTTATTGGTCCCTTGCCACCTCCCCATTCTTTGTGATACCTCCAAAATTGATACTCACCAGCCTTCTTCATCATCTTGTTTTCTTCTCTCCCAAGTTTTAGCCACCATTCAAATTTGTATGCCATATTGCCATACTAGTGACTGTTGTATTCTGCTGCCCTTCCTATCCTCTACTATCCCCCCTCCCCTCCCCTCCCCTCCCATCTTCTCTCTCTATCCCATCTACTGTAATTCATTTCTCCCTCTTGTTTTTATTTTTTTCCCTTTCCCCTCACTTCCTCTTGTATGTAATTTTGTATAACCATG